TCAGTAAATGTTTTGGGCTTTGCAGATCATACGGTCTCTGTTGTAACTACTTAGCTCTGCTCTTGTAGCACAAAAGCAGCCATAGACAAGATGGAAATGAATGGGTGGGTTTGCGTTTCAGTAAAACTTTATTAACAGAAACAGGTGGCTGGGTAAACTATAGCTTGCTGACTCCTGTTGTGTTTGGTGGGGCAGTCATTTCATCTTGAAATTGACTTTTGGTTTTGAGTTGATCTAATGGCTGCATTATAGATGTGAATTGGTATTTTGAATTCTTCCCACCCCAATTTTATGTTATCTTTGCCCTTTCTTTCCATTTCTTTTTAACCAGGCGCAGGCACGATGTCATCGAATTGGGCAGAGCAAAGCTGTGAAGGTGTACCGTCTCATCACTCGTAATTCTTATGAGAGAGAGATGTTTGATAAGGCTAGCCTTAAGTTGGGATTGGATAAAGCTGTGCTTCAGTCCATGAGTGGTCGGGATGGCAACATTACTGGAGTGAGTCCTCTTAGTCTGTGGATACATTTGTAGCAGGTCATAGCAATAGAGGGAGGCAAAGCTATTTTTGTACAGGAATCTGACCACCATGTTTGATTTCTCAATTCTTATTTCTTAAAATGTAATAAACCAAATTATTATGATATGGTTAGGTAATGCTCTTAGTAGTTTTTTCATCTTACTGTTGGGTTTTGCAGATCCAGCAGTTCTCCAAGAAAGAGATTGAAGATCTCTTAAGAAAAGGAGCATATGCAGCCATAATGGAAGAAGATGATGAGGGCTCCAAGTTTTGTGAAGAAGACATTGACCAGATCTTGTTAAGACGAACCACAACCATCACCATTGAGTCTGAAGGAAAGGGTTCTACCTTTGCCAAGGTTTGTTCTGTCTGTGCCAAATGCTAGAGAAGCAGAGGTAGAGACAGGAATTTCTGGAATTTAAATATATTTTTTAAATATAGTTACTGGTTTCACTTGCTCAAAAAAGTGTTGTGGTCAACTTTGTTTCTTCCTCACTAGGCAAGCTTTGTTGCTTCTGAAAATAGAACTGATATTTCTCTGGATGACCCCAACTTTTGGCAAAAGTGGGCCAAAAAGGCTGACCTGGACATGGATCTACTGAACAGCAAGGTAAGCTTCCTTTTCTTTACGGAAGCAGTGTTTCAGGAGCCTTTGTAGCTGCTCCGATTCTTTGATGCTGGCCTTCGTTTATGATGGTGTATTGTATATAAGAGCCATTGTAAAAACTTTCTGCATATGAGGCCCCAGAAAACTACTTAGATATCTACCACTTACTTTTGCTTCCTGAGTCCCTATAGATTATTTTGCATGTCCTAAAAAAAAATCTCTTTTTGAGTATCTACAGATGTTATATCCTAGGCTATTTCAATCCATAATTGTCTTAATTCCTTTCCCACAATCCTATCTTGAACAGAGTTACTCTTCTGTTTCTGTTCTCTGTATAGAATAACTTGGTGATTGACACACCTAGAGTACGAAAACAGACCCGGCACTTCAGCACCCTGAAAGATGATGACCTAGTGGAATTCTCTGATTTGGAAAGTGAAGATGATGAACGGCCACGCTCTCGCCGACACGACCGTCATCATACCTATGGGCGCACTGACTGTTTTCGGGTGGAAAAGCACCTCTTGGTATATGGGTAAGAACCCGTCTTGCTATTAGAGGTAGTGGATTTTAATCCTGCTAGACACTCGTTTTGCCTTTCAGATTGGAAGCTCTGACCAAAGAGGGGATAATGGGAAAAACTTTTTTCTGTTAAGATGTTTTCCCCAGATCTTTTTCTCTCCCATCTTTTGGAAGTCCCCAGGAAAATATTAACACAATTTTCTGTTTTTCTAGTTGGGGACGGTGGCGAGATATCTTGTCTCATGGACGCTTCAAGCGACGTATGACTGAACGAGATGTGGAGACAATTTGCCGGGCCATCCTTGTTTACTGTCTTCTACATTATCGTGGGGATGAAAATATTAAAGGCTTCATTTGGGACTTGATTAGCCCTGCTGAAAATGGCAAGACAAAAGAATTGCAGAATCATTCAGGTAATTATCAACTCTTTACTGTTTATCTTTTTATAGATCACCTAATCCTTTTCAGGTCCAAGGGTTTTTCTCAATCCAAGTCTTTAATGTCTCCCCTTTCCCAGGTCTGTCTATCCCTGTGCCACGTGGACGCAAGGGGAAAAAAGTAAAATCACAAAGCACTTTTGATATCCATAAGGCAGATTGGATCCGGAAATATAATCCTGATACCCTGTTCCAGGATGAGAGTTATAAGAAGCATTTGAAACATCAGTGTAACAAGTAAGGATGGAAATTAACAAAGACTAAAGCATTTTCCACCCCAAAGTTTCTGTGTTATTACTGACCCGGCTCTTCTTCCCTCACTTGTAGGGTGCTATTGCGGGTACGGATGCTCTATTATCTAAGGCAGGAGGTTATTGGAGACCAGGCAGAGAAGGTGTTAGGGGGTGCCATTGCCAGGTAAAGTTATGGTACATTTTTCTTTATGCCTTGCCTTATACCAGAAAAGATTGGTTTATTTATTTCATTCTGTGCTGTCTTTGGGATAACTGATAATTAAGAAACTATGTCACTTCTTTAATCTTACGCTTGATATCAGTGGAAGGAAATAGGCAGATCCGCGAGCATTTAAGTTAATGGATAAAAGAAGATACCTATAATAATCTTCCCAAGGATTGTTATTTAATTCTCTGCATTGCTGTGTTGACTCTGCTGTCTTCTACCTTTAGTGAGATTGACATATGGTTCCCAGTAGTGGATCAGCTGGAGGTTCCAACAACATGGTGGGACAGTGAGGCTGACAAGTCCTTGCTCATTGGAGTCTTTAAGCATGGTAGGTACCTTTTTTTAGTCTGTTTATTTCCTTTTGTAGACTTACGTCCACAGATAGAACATGTAGCGTAAAATGCTTATGGCCAGTACCTGAGTTATCTGATTGGTTTTCAATAAAATTAAGTTTGAATAAGAAACTAGTTCTTAAATATCCAGAGCAAAGCATTTCGTTCCTATAAATAGATGTTCAGAAAGACCAGATGGATAGTTAAATCCCAAGGTAGGGAGTCTCCCATCTGTTCCCTAATCAGTGTTATCAATTTGTATGTTGTGGTATCTTAGTTAAGCTTCCACAGTTCAGGGGAGGTAATATATGCCCACTCCTACTAATAATAAACACGTTTAATTTGTATGAAAGTGTTCTACTTATGTAATATCCTATTTGTCTAAATGTTCAACAGTCACTCTGATGAAGGTATGAGCTACAGTGAAACAAAATGGAGTACAAAAAGGAAGAGTACTCCCTTTTCAGTCTTGCCTAATAACAAATCCTAGGTATTAAAAGCAGTGAGTGCTAACTTCCAGCCCAGTGACTTAGTGAATTAGAATATCACTTTTTCTTTTTTTTTTTTTAAACTATTCTGGGGTCACCTGGGTGGCTCCAGAGGTTAAGCATCAGGCCCTTGGTTTCGGCTCAGATCATGATCTCATGGTTCGTGAGTTCAAGTCCTGCGTTGGGCTCTGTGATGACAGTGCAAAGCCTGCTTGGGATTCTCTCCTCTCTCTCTCCCTCCCTCCCTCCCTCCGCCCCTTACCCACTCCTGTGCTCTTGCTCTCTCTCTCAAAATAAGTAAACCTATAAGAAATTGAAAATGTTTTTCTGTTTATTTCTTTAACATAAAAGTAATGGCACTTAATCAACATGTTTTTGAGATGTTTTAAGGGATCAGAAAAACTGAACACTTTCTAATCATAGATTTACTTGTGAGACAAAGAGGTTTAGATGAGTCCAAACATCCTGAAATATATTCATGGACTCATTCATTCATTCTCTGTTCATCAGACATTCAGTGCCTGTTTGTTTACAGGTGTTTCTTGTCCTTCATTCAAAAATGTGTGACCTAGCCCTAAATTATTTTACTTTTTCAGTTTCCCCATGTATGTAGTAAGAATAATAATAGAAAAACTGCCAGTTAAATGGCGATGTAAACTTTTCACCATTCTTTATAAATTCTGATTAAGTTCTTATCTTTTATAACTAGCGATAAAACTCTTTGTGACTCTAAGTTGCTATAGAAATATTAAATATAGTAATATAACCCAGTAGCTGTCCAAGTTAGTATTTTCTATTATGAGCAAAGTAGCTCAGATAGTTCAACTATTTCAGCACCCTTTAGGCAAAATTAATCTCTTATTTTCTTCAGCTTAAGACCCTTTTTCTTCTAGGCTATGAGAAATACAATACTATGAGGGCAGATCCAGCCTTATGCTTCCTGGAAAAGGCTGGTCGACCAGATGACAAAGCCATTGCAGCAGAACATCGAGTATTGGATAATTTCTCTGACATAGTAGAAGGGTAAGCACTGGTGTTTAATTGTCTTAAAGTTCTGAATCTACCCCATGAAGCCTATTAGTTGCTTATGCTAAGAGACAACATAACTGTAGCCTTGACTGAACCCATTAGTATTCTTAATGATGGTTATACTCATTAATGATAAATTCTTAACAAAGAGTGGGATTAGCAGAAAGCACTCCATAAATTAGGCTAAAACCACACATTGCCATAAGATGCCACTAAGGGTGAAAATTAACATTACTCTTAAACGGCTTATTTGACGTTCTGTTCAGTTTTCTTGCAACACTTTTCTGTGTAGCCACAGCTGACAGGACAACTGATTCTCTTGAAAGATAATAGCCATGCAACTCTCCTACGCCACTTATGTGGTTAGCGCCTCAGGAGATTTTACCCCTGGTTTATCATCTCTCAGTGGTAGCTGACACGCATAGGCATAGATTCTGGATACGTGCCTCGATGATGAATTGCCATGCTAATACTGAGTCACCAGGTGGGGCAGTGTTGCCCTGGTTTGGGTGCCAGTGAGTTTAACAAAACTTCTCACATGGAGACCTGAGGGGCATGTTCAGTAGTTGGCTTAGTTCATGAATACCCATTCCATGTACTCTTCTGCAATTGAGAGATTTCTCTGATGATCACAACCTTAGTTTCTTTAGTGCAGAACACTCAAAGGAAATTGGGTCAGTTATTCATTGCAAATCATGTATTATGTCACCCTTCCACTCAGTAGAGCAAAGTAAAACAAGCAAACATGGACTATTCAAATGTAATAATTAAAGTAAATAGGAAGGATGGGAAGAATGGGTAAAGAATAAAAAAGGCTATCAAGAGAAAGGAAATATGCTGGTTAAAGTGTTTTGTTTCAGATGTGAGCAATTTAGAATGACACTTTGTCAGTTTCTCCCCGTTCTTTGTCCTGTTCAGTGTTGTACCTAACTTTCTCAGATCTTAGCACCTGGCTGCCATTCCTTTAAGCATGAAAGAAAAGACTGCTTCATGGTAGATTATACATTTGGCTAGGTCTTCATCCTAAATTGCTCGTAGTGAAGGAAGATACAATCTTGTGTTGTTGTTTTTTTTTCATGCTTTTGAATAATTTTAGGGTTGACTTTGATAAGGATTGTGAAGATCCTGAATACAAACCACTCCAGGGTCCCCCAAAGGACCAAGATGATGAGGTGAGGAATTCTCCTTTGAGTCTAGCTTTTCTCTATTACTAAATAGTTAAGTATTCTCCCATTCCCTGGATCCTGAAGTGTATTGATGAATTTATAATACAAAATGGAAAGTAACTACCATTTGAGAATATAAAGTAGTAATGGAAAGGATTGTGATACCAACTGGGGGAGACCAGGGATGGCTTTGTGTAGGAGGTGGGACCAAGCTGGATATTGAAGTATATTACGTGACTGCAAAATTCCTGAGTCCCTAATTTTTAAGCCATTAACAACAACTGATTTTTCAGGTTTTACTTTCTTATCCCTTTAGTTGGTTGCTTCCATTTCTTTGTGAGGGGTCATTAGAAATTTTTCTTGATCCCTTTGGTGCCATAGAAGGACTCACATAAGAAAGTGATTTCAGAGTGCCAACTTCCCCCCCTTTCCCTCCCCCCCCCTCCATCCTGTGGGGTGGATCTCCTTCTTTAGGGTGATCCCTTGATGATGATGGATGAGGAGATCTCAGTGATTGATGGAGATGAAGGTAAACTTCTAGGTCAACTAGTACAATTTTGTGTGGGGTGGTGGGTTGGGGAATTATTAACTGAATTCTGTCCTATCCTGGGATTTCTAAGAGCTTTGCTTTTGGGTGGCTTGATTATCTCTACTGTCCTTCCTATACTTCCTGTTCATTCTTCTTTGCTTCCCACAGCCCAGGTGACCCAGCAGCCAGGCCATCTATTCTGGCCTCCAGGCTCTGCTCTGACAGCTAGGCTTCGGCGCCTAGTAACAGCTTATCAGCGCAGCTACAAGAGAGAACAGATGAAGATAGAGGCTGCAGAACGAGGGGACCGGAGACGACGGCGTTGTGAGGCAGCCTTCAAGCTAAAAGAAATCGCGCGGCGGGAAAAACAGCAACGGTAGTGTGGCTGGGAATTTGGGCTGAGTTGTAGGCTTGCCTTCAGCTATGGGTCTTACTGAATTTTTTTTTTTAATGTTTATTTATTTTTGAGACAGGGAGAGACAGAGCATGAATGGGGGAGGGGAAGAGAGAGAGGGAGACACAGAATCCAAAGCAGGCTCCAGGCTCCGAGCTGTCAGCACAGAGCCTGACGCGGGGCTCAAACTCACAAACTGTGAGATCGTGACCTGAGCTGAAGTCAGACGCTCAACTGACTGAGCCACCCAGGCGCCCCAGCTATGGGTCTTATTGAAAAACATCTTAGGAAGGATTTATTTGGAATTCCCTAGAGGGACCACTTATTTTTGCCTTTAACTTTTATTCCTCTATGCCAGAAACTTTGGTTGTGTGCCTAACCACAACTCCTAAGGAGGTCTTTTATGTGACCGTTCTCATTTATTTGCCCACATCATTTTTTCCCTTAGTTTGCTATTCTTAAATTCTTACATGTTATAGAGTACCTCTTAACTCCCTCTTCTGCTGTCTTCTGGGCCCCCTCCTTTTTTTTTTTTTGTCCCTACTTTCAATTTTTGTTTATTCAGATATTCTAAGCCACATTAAGAAATAACCAGTTTCCCTGTGTTTTGTTTTTTTTTTTAAGTTTTATTTATTTTGAGAGAGAGAATGAGAGCGGTGGTGGTGGGCGGGGGGGGGGGGGCTGGAGAGAGAGAGACAGAGAGAGAGAGAGAGAGAGAGAGAGAGAGAGAGAATCCCAAGCAGGCTCCCACACTGTCAGTGCAGAGCCCATTGTGGGGCTCGAACTCACAAAGTGCGAGATCATGACCTGAGCCGAAATCAAGAGTTGGATGCTTAACTTACTGAGCCACCCAGGCACCCCTTCTCTGTGTTTTTCTGATCACAATTGCCTGATTCCTCTTCCCTTTAGATGGACAAGGCGTGAACAAACTGATTTCTATCGGGTGGTGTCTACCTTTGGTGTGGAATATGACCCCGATACCATGCAGTTCCATTGGGATCGCTTCCGTACTTTTGCCCGTCTGGACAAAAAAACAGACGAAAGCCTTACCAAGTACTTCCATGGCTTTGTGGCCATGTGTCGCCAAGTGTGTCGCCTTCCCCCAGCAGCTGGAGATGGTAAGCAAGACTAGAGAGTCTTGGGTGAGTGGGGATGGAGGGCAACAGAGCCAAGTCGCTTCATTTCTCCGTCTGCCCCTATCTCTTGCAGAGCCCCCGGACCCTAATCTGTTCATTGAGCCCATCACGGAGGAGAGGGCCTCACGGACTCTTTACCGTATTGAGTTGCTTCGGCGCTTACGGGAACAAGTTTTATGCCATCCCCTTCTGGAAGATCGGCTGGCATTATGTCAGCCCCCAGGTCCTGAATTGCCCAAATGGTGGGAGCCTGTTCGGCATGATGGGGAGCTTCTGCGAGGGGCAGCCCGACATGGGGTGAGCCAAACAGACTGCAACATCATGCAGGACCCAGACTTTTCTTTTCTGGCTGCCCGTATGAATTATATGCAGAACCATCAGGCAGGAGCACCAGCTCCACCCCTGTCACGCTGCTCTACTCCACTGCTCCACCAGCAGTATACCTCGCGCACTGCCTCACCACTGCCCCTGCGCCCAGATGCTCCTGTTGAAAAACCACCCGAGGAGACAGCCGCCCAGGTCCCCAGTCTGGAGAGTCTGACTTTAAAGCTAGAGCATGAGGTGGTGGCCAGGAGCCGACCAACCCCACAAGACTATGAGATGCGAGTAGCCCCCTCTGATACTACCCCTCTGGTTTCCCGGAATGTTCCACCAGTCAAACTGGAGGATGAGGATGATTCAGACTCTGAGCTGGACTTGAGCAAGCTGTCACCATCATCCTCTTCTTCCTCATCCTCATCCAGCTCCAGCTCCAGCACTGATGAGAGTGAGGACGAGAAGGAAGAAAAGCTAAGTGAGTGCATGTGACAGGCTGTTGGCCCTTTTCCCCATTTCCCACCTCTCCACCCCACTCACCTCACTCTTCCCCTTCTTTTCTACATGCATCCTCTGGGAGAGATTTGGATTTTGATTTGATAGAATACCAAAAGAGATCTGTTACTCTCTGGGCTTTTATTTAAAGCCCATATAATTCCATTTCTATATAACTTCATTCTTCCATCTCTGCTCACATTCTGTATGGTCTCTAGCTGTTGACCAGTCCCGCTCAAAGCTCTATGATGAAGAGAGTCTCCTGTCCCTCACTATGTCCCAAGATGGATTCCCAAATGAAGATGGAGAACAAATGACCCCTGAGCTTCTGCTGCTACAAGAAAGACAAAGAGCCTCTGAGTGGCCCAAGGTAATAGCGTCATTCCTGAACACATAGTGTGGAAATACAATGTAACAGAAGCAGGGAACAAGGAACAGATGGTTCTCGTTTTCTTCAATTGTATTTTGCGCTACGCGGTTTTTTTCATGAAACTCTTCCCAGTTGACTTAGGGATCTGATACTATTACCTCCCTCCTCCTACCTTGTGATTTTTACCCATTCTGACAATGGTGGCAGTATTGTTTGTCACAGAATCACATAGCTGGTTCTCCGGCCCTAAAACCAGTATTGATTTCTTTTCCCCCCATTCAGGATCGTGTCCTTATAAACCGTATTGACCTCGTCTGCCAGGCTGTACTCTCAGGGAAGTGGCCTTCTAGCCGCCGGAGCCAGGAAATGGTAACAGGAGGAATTTTGGGGCCAGGCAACCACTTGCTAGATAGTCCCTCCTTGACTCCAGGAGAATATGGTGACTCTCCAGTCCCCACACCACGAAGCAGCAGCGCGGCTTCCATGGCAGAGGAGGAAGTGTCTGCAGTCACCACAGCAGCAGCTCAGTTCACAAAACTTCGCAGAGGCATGGATGAAAAGGAGTTTACGGTTCAGATCAAAGATGTAAGCTTAGCATTTAGGCACTGGGAAGTGGGGAATGAGGCTGTAGTTTTACTAACTACTTCACTAACATGATACTAAACTCATTTGGTTAGCTAACTTTAAAAATTAGAGGGTATAAAAATTAGAGCTCACACAGCTCCATTGAGGAGAAGTCATTGCAGTAAAGGAAGGGATCTTGACTTCTATCTCCTGGGGACTAGATTAAAAGAAACAATATTTTTGAAAGAAATTTAATTGATACAAGGTTCTCTTGGGAGGCTTGTTTCTAGATCCTAGAAACCTAGTTTTTAAAAATTGAATTCAAGTTGTAGGAAAGCTGTTAAAATGACATGGAAGTATTTATGGGCCTTATTAAGTCAAAAATAAGAAGTCATTCCTACTGAAATTAAATCAGTGTTACTTATTTTACAAATGGGAAGTTTAATTTCTTGATCCTCTTCCCTATTGAAACCCTATTAGTTGCTCATTAAGTACTCAACAAGAAAAATTTCTTAAAGTATGTGTTAGGAATTATCAGGATTTTGCTCCTGTGATGATTTGCCATGCTAATATTGAGACACCAGGTAGGGGGTGTTGTTGAAATTCTTCTCTTACTTCTTTTCTGAGGGGCACTAGGTCAAGAAACAAAATCTGTCTAAGGGAAAAGTATATAGGTTTTATCCTATTTCTGATTTCTACCTTTTAGTCAGATGGCCTTCTTTCTCATCCTTGAGCCAGAGGATGACCCTTACCCCAAGATCCGCAAAGCTTAATGTTTACTTTAAAAACATGTGCCATATGACATTTTGGGTGGATGGGTTGTCTTCTTAGGAGGAAGGATTGAAGTTAACATTCCAGAAGCACAAGTTGATGGCTAATGGAGTAATGGGAGATGGACATCCTCTGTTTCATAAGAAGAAGGGAAACAGAAAGAAGCTAGTCGAGGTGAGTGATAGAAAAAGTCTTTAATGTGATGATTAGATTTTTTTTTTTTATTCCTACTAATTGATGAAGGCAGTTGGGATTAAGGGACTAGAAGATACTAGAATTATTTTATGGCTACCATTGGCTCTACTCCCCCTCCCTCCCTGCCCCAAAGAAGAGTATGTGCTCATGGGGGTGGATTCTGGGTTTGCAGCTGGAGGTGGAGTGCATGGAAGAGCCTAATCACCTTGATGTGGACCTGGAGACCCGGATCCCTGTCATCAATAAGGTGGATGGTACTTTGCTGGTGGGTGAGGATGCCCCTCGCCGGGCTGAACTGGAGATGTGGTTACAGGGTCATCCAGAGTTCGCTGTTGATCCCCGATTTCTAGCGGTGAGTGGCAGTTCCATCCAGCAAGATTTAAAGTCATTCCCTTGGTATTTAAGCTGTGTGAGAAGGAGGAAGCATGCCGTATTATGTCATCATTTCTGTATCTGCCAAATCAGAATAATAATACCCAGTCTTCCCAACTCACAGAGTTGTAAGGATCAAAATAAAATAAGTTAAAGCACTTACTAAACTAAATACTAGGCAGTTATTTACTGTTGAATTATTATCTGATCACCTGATTTTGGGGGGAGAGATCAGCTTAATGGCAGTTTCCCACCAGGACTAATCCTTTACTTAGCCATGCAATAAGCATGTATTGTCAAACTAGACACTAGTACCTTAATAATTACTCCAGAGAAGATTTTTATTCCTCTAGGATGACTGATCCTTTTCTATTTCAGTATATGGAGGATCGCAGAAAACAGAAGTGGCAGAGATGTAAAAAAAATAATAAGGCAGAATTGAACTGTTTGGGAGTGGAACCTGTCCAGACAGCTAACTCTAGGAACGGGAAAAAGGTGAGTGAGACTGAGGCGTTAACCACTCTGTTCCCACACTAGATGTGACTGAGAAATTATTTGATGTTATGTTACTTACCTTTTTAACAGTGTATGAAAAAAATTTATCTTCAGTCCACCAATCAGAAAACCAGAGTAATTTTATTGGTATTAATACAGTCCTTTAGCATTGTCATCTCTACAAGAGCATAAAGTTCTAAAAAGTAACTAGCACATCAAGCATATTAAAACACAAGAATTAGTAAGATGTGTTGGAACATTCAAGGCCTTCTGCTCTTCTACTGATTGACTAGGGAGTTTTGGCAAATCTTTAACCTTTCAGCTTGCACATCCTGAAAAGTTGAGGGTATTGGAGCAGATAATCTCTTAAAAGTTTTAGGATCCTGTTTATTTATTTATTTAAAAAAAATTTTTTTTTAAATGTTTATTTATTTTTGAGACAGAGAGAGACAGAGCATGAACGGGGGAGGGTCAGAGAGAGGGAGGCACAGAATCTGAAACAGGCTCCAGGCTCTGAGCTGTCAGCACAGAGCCTGACGCGGGGCTCGAACTCACAGATTGTGAGATCATGACCTGAGCCGAAGTCGGCCGCTTAACCGACTGAGCCACCCAGGTGCCCCAGGATCCTGTTTATTTTAGAAGGGACTTGGGGGCTACTAAGGAAAATAGTCATAGCGTTTCCCAACATGGAGGAGTTTGAGAATCACTGATAATAACGCCAGTAATGGAAAAAGGAAAGGAAAACATGTTTTATAGTTTAAAACAACATTGGTTATTCCATTATTTTCAAATGTACTTATGCTTTTACTACCCCAGTTATAGGCCTTTTGGTAGATTAAGTGCTGATAATCCTTTCTACCAAAATATAACTGTAAAAGTTTCTCTTTGCTATGTTAGCCTTACTTTGGGCAGTAATTATATTTTTTAAACATATTAAATCATGGTTTGTTTGGGAAGCACTTAAAGTGATAAGTACTTGTATATACTCCCTTTATCTAATCATCCCCTCTTTCATGTACCTCTTTACATATATATGTAATATGTATATAAAAATACAATGTATCTTTTAGCAAAGTCAGTTTCCAAATAAACATTATCTTTTGCATTTAACAAATTGAGATCATTATTTTGCACATTATAGTAATTTGTGAGGGGCATTTATGAAGCTTATTTTTTTTTTATTGGTAAAAGTGGTTTCATATAAGGATTGTTGGCCATAAAAGAATAGTTTAATTTATCCTCTTATCCTCTATGGGACCAAAAGTGTGATAATAAGCACAGTGGTTGATATGTGAGACTGATGGCTGAAGGCTGGATCCTTCTCTGTCTTGAATTTCACATTACAGAGCAGCTTCATAAAAAAGGCTTTTCCCCAGTATTACCTATTTTTACCTCAAGTATTTTGTTATTTCTTTATAGTCAGTTGAAACAAAAGATCCTAGGGAGTCACAGAAAATCATAATATGACTAGTGCAGAATTTTTGATGTAGACAGAATTGATCGTATATCTAGCACTGCATTATTACTTGTAACTGTGGGAGTTTAGGTGCTATTATAGTTATTTTAAAAGTCTATACAAATACGGAGTATTGAGAGGTTTGTCTCTCCAAATCAGAAAGGTATATTCCCGTGTCACGTGTTAGATTGGTAAATAGAGTGCAGAGATATAGGCACCAATTGTCTGAGTTTAATTCTAGGTTACCCAGTATTGTACTTAGGTCTAGCAAAGCAGAGGCAGTAGTTCCAGCTTCGGTATACTTAATTAAAATTTACAGTCAGAACATCTAGAAGAAGTGACTTAAAATTCAGCAGATAGGTTCTTTTTATCAGTGTGAACAAAACTTAAATTTCACGAGGAGCTACCCACAGTCTTTTTGTTGTTCTAAACATCCAGGAGTCTTAACCTGACCTGTCTTTAGTTTACCACACTCTGATATTCTAATGAGTGATAATTTTGTGAATACCAATATAGTCGTTCTGCACTTCACATGATAAATTTCATGTGAACAACCTGCCATCAGTAAAGTATACTGTGCAAATACTGATTCACTCATTGGCTTACTCAGGCCCCTTTAATTTCTTAAAGGTAAGAAATGGGCGGATGGACTAAAGATACAATGTAGTCACGGAAAAAAGAAAACTCTGGTTCACATGAGTATCAGTATCAATTCCTTGATCTTAGCTTGGGCATCGCAGTGCTTCCAGCAGCTACATCCAGCATTTCCTCCTCCTTATTACCATCAAGCCTTATCTGAATGTGCTTGTTTTGCTGCTCCTAAAGATAGAGTCAGTGAAAAAGAATTTGCAAGCTGGGGCTCTGTTGGCTTCTATTTTGCTTTTTGACTTTCTTGTTTACCATCTTCTTTTCCTTCCTCCTAGGGTCACCATGCTGAAACTGTGTTCAACCGGGTTTTGCCAGGGCCTATTGCACCAGACAGCAGCAAGAAGCGGGCCCGTAGGATGCGACCAGACCTTTCTAAGATGATGGCCCTGATGCAGGGTGGAGGCACTGGGTCCCTGTCTCTGCATAATACCTTCCAACACAGCAGTAGTGGCCTGCAGTCTGTGTCATCTCTGGGTCACAGCAGTGCCGCTTCTGCATCTTTGCCTTTTATGCCGTTTGTGATGGGTGGTGCAGCATCATCCCCTCATGTAGACTCCAGCACCATGCTTCATCACCACCACCACCACCCCCACCCCCACCATCACCACCATCACCATCCAGGCCTGAGAGCCACTGGCTTCCCTTCTTCACCAGCCACTACCACCTCTGGTACTGCCTTGAGGTTGCCACCACTGCAGCCTGAGGAAGACGAGGACGATGAGGATGAAGATGATGATGATGATTTATCTCAGGGCTATGATAGCTCAGAAAGGGACTTCTCACTCATTGATGATCCTATGATGCCAGCCAACTCAGACTCGAGCGAAGATGCTGATGACTGAAGCCCCAGCATGGTCCCCATTGCTTGGGTGGCTGCTGTTATTTTCAATTACTCTGGCCCTTGGACTATGGAAAAGTGGGAGGGGCAGGGGAGATGTGGGGAAACCCAGGACTCCAGGAGGTGAAAAGGAAAAAGAAAACTTGTACCTGATTGCTTCCAAAATTGAGAGGATTGGGTGGGCAGGGGGAACTCCTAAAAAAATACATGACCACTTCCTCATTTCTGGGGAAGGAAAGGAGACTAGAGCAGCTGATGTGCTCACCCCTCCCTAAACCCCTCCATTAACCACAGACTATGTAGCGCTGGCCCTAGCCTCTGGCAGAGCCTGTTCCTGGCCGAACTGTGGATACAGCTGGAGGGTCAGGAACTGTTACCTTCCTTCCCCTTGGCATTAATAAATTTAAGTTAATCCTTTTCCACTCTTCCTTTGTTCTATATTTGCTCAAACCCAATATAAAGGTTAATTTTGAATTCATGATGGGTAATTTCAGTACCATTTCCAAAGTTCATTATCTCTCATACAAAGTTACCTTGGACAGGACAGACAAGTCGTCTCCACTCCACCAAAGGTTATATGTTAAGTGTAGTCCAGCTTGCTAAAGGCAAGGCAATTATTTAACGTAAATAGTAGGCAAATGTTAAGATTCAAACTCGCAAGTTCTTAAAAAAAATGAAGAATGTTGCCAAGGAACCATGTACATTTTACCTGGAATTAACTGAAATAACGGTGCTTTTGAGAAGCCTTAAGAATGGTGTCACTTCATGGACTGTGGCAAGGGGACAGGCTGACCGGAAGGAACGTTGTCAAGACTTGAGCCCGGTTGGGGGGGGGGCGGAGACTGGGTTGTATTAAGCCCCTCAAGCCATTAGTTTCCTACAACTCTTCTCCCACCATCCCAGGGCTCAGATGAAGCCTGGGCATTTCCTTTTCTAAGGCAAGGTCCTTTCACCATAATTTATTGGTAGGGTGCGTTTTTTTCTCCTCGGTTTGTTCTGTGTGTGTGCCCGGAACCTCAGACCCAGCGTCCCACCACGAAGGATCCTTCTAGACCAGGAGCTGCAAAGGGTTTTGCTTCCCCACCCTTTCTAGGAGGGGAACGCACCCAGCCTTCCTTCTCCCGTCCCACGCCACCTCCCGCTCTTTCCGCTTCCCCGGCGTTTGTCGGTGGGTGGGGCCATTGCAGCGGCGCGCGGCAGCTCGTGTGGGGCGGGGCACGTGTGGGGCGGGGCAGGCTCGGCAGGCCTCCCGCTTCCTTCGCGGTGCCCCGCCGCTGCCGCCTCCGCCAGAAGTTGGAGCTCCTGCAAACCGCAGCCGGGCTGAGAGTGAGGGCGGGGCGGAGCGTCACGTGATGACGTCGCTTCGCGTGCGGCTGTTGCTAAGTTGACAACAAAACCCCGCGAAAATCTAGACTCTTTTTGTGTTGCACATTTTGTTGATTTTCCACTGTCTTTCTTCCTCTCCTTCCGCTAACCTCCGGAGAGAGGATTAAAAGAAAAAAAAAAATTCCAAGCGCTGTCGGGACCCGGAAGCGGAAAGGGCATCTTTGAGGTCGATACTTCCGGGTCACTGGGAGAGTGCGGGATTCCGGGGCCGAGAGCGGGTGGCGGATCCGGGACCTCGCGTGATTCTCGGAACCCGAGCAGGAGCGGCGTCTGTCGCTATGGCTGTGACTCTGGACAAAGACGCTTATTACCGACGAGTGAAGAGACTGTACAGCAATTGGCGGGTGAGATAGATCCCGTAATTTTCCCTGGGGAGCCCCCCTCTGCCATCCCATAATAACCCCATTTCTCGGCGCCCTTTTTTCTCTTTCCGTCGGGAATTCCCGGGTTCAGTGTCGCGCCCCTTTAGTTGCTGCAGGACCATTCACCGCAGGCCGCCCCCAGCGCCGCCCCGGAACAGGGAATCCCCCGCAATCACCCTGCCCTGCATCCACCACCATCTTCCCCGCGTGCTGGCCCCCGTCATGCATAACAGCCTCCTCTCACAATTCCTTCCCGCCCTGGAAGAGGCATCATCCTTCCCTCCCACTCTGTGATCACGTCTTGCTGCCCCCCTCCTGCAGTGTTCATACACACCCACGCACTCGCTCTGTCCTTCCAGAATCCGAGTATTCCGCCCCAGGTCCCGCCAGAATTGGCAACCTTCTTCGTAAAGGGTGGATGGAGGGGCTAGCAAGATGTGAATCCAGCTTTTCGTGTTTATCGTTTGCGGGGCTTTTGCTGGAGTTCAAAAAAAAAAAAAACAAAAAAAACCGCTCACGCGCAGCCGTCTCATGTTCTAGGCCCTGCTGTGGGTAACACAGAAACCCTAATGCCGAAAACCTGCAAGCATTAGTAATGCAAAAACGATGTGATGCTTAAAACCTCACTAGTTTTCCTCTTTGGTAGAGTATCCGGGGCACGTGTTGAGAAAAAGCGCTGTTGCAGTCTCCAGTGTTTTAAAGGTTGGGTAATTTTGCCGCTTGAGAAACGTCCACGATTGAAATTTATTTTTATGAAAGTAATTTATCAATTCATACATTTGATTGCGTCCTGTGGTGCAGGCTGAGCTGTCGAGCTTAAGTCTGGCCTCTGAACTCTTGTCATCCAGGGAAGCTAAAACTAATAAAGACTTTTTAAAACCTGAAAAATGTCCTGACGGAAGTGATCAGTTCTGATTTTCAGCATGTAAATTGCCGTTCAAATAGACCCTTCACTAAAAACCAAGCTATTAAACTTGGTCAGTTTCCTGCCACTCATATTAAAGGTTCATGTGTCTTTAATTCTTTGAAGATAAATGCGTTAGATAATTGAAAGTAAAACGGATTCTTTGTTGCATTTTTATGAAAATAAGGACTTAATCCTAGAAAAATGCTGAACATAGTTTTGTTTTTAAGATTTTGTATTGGTTAATTTCTATCAAATGTTTTCACATTTTCTTTCACTGTTACATTTTTAAATAATCCATGTTACAAAAACTTTCTGGGGCACCTGGGTGGCTCAGTCCGTTGAGCATTGAACTCTTGATTTCAGCTCAAGATCCCAGGGTTGTGACAGGCTCCTCCTCCCTGAACTTGGAGCCTGCTTAAGAGTCTCTCACTACCTTTGTCTGTCTCCCCTCCTGCTTGCTCACACACATGCGCTCAAGCTCACTCCCTCTCTGGTGCTCGTGGGCTCTCTCTCTCTCCCTCTCCCTCTCCCTCCCCCTCTCCAGTAAAAAAAAGTTGAGCATTCGACTTTGGCTCAGGTGGTAATCTCAGTTCTTGAGTTGGAGCCCCACACCAGGCTCTCTGCTGTCAGCACAGATCCTGCTTTGGATCTCTGTTCCCCTCTCTCTCTGCCCCTCCCCCGCTGCTGTCAAAAATAAACATTAAAAAAGCATGCTGTGAAAAAAAATAAAAATGTGTTTTTAAAAAGGAAAAAAAACTTTCTGAAAGTTGCAGTATTTTCCAAAGATTGATTTACAAGGGTGCAGTATATAATAAATATAAATAAATCAGAAACTCTCTCTTCCACTCATATACCCTGAAATTATACAGCTTAGATGTGTAGGTTGTTCCTAGTCCCAGTAATTAAGAGTTTATCAGGTTATTCTTCATCTTCTCTAGACCATTCACAAAAGCTAAGATTCATTTAGTCAGTGTTCCATTACATGATAAATGCAAAGCATGAGACTGGGAAAAACTGGAGGCCTAAAGACAGATTGACAAACTTAATAATTTTAAGTAGCAGTGTTTAAATCAAGGAAAGTTAAATTATAGGCCCTTGTTTTTTGTTCCTCAAAAATCAATATTTTTGAGAGGGAGACAGAGGGCGAGGGCGCAAGTGAGCAAGGGGCAGAGAGGGAGAGAGAGAAAAGTGGGGCACAGGTCCACCCAAAGCAGGGCTCGAGCTCATGATGTGGGACTTGAACTCACGAACCATGAGATCATGACCTGAGCCGAAGTCAGATGCTTAAGGACTGAGCCACCCAGGCGCCCAGAAACCATTAAGGTTTATCCTGGCCCTTCTACTTACGTCATTTGAAGAGGTATGTTAAATGTTAAGAAGAACTGGTATTGTATAAAGTTATGTGTCAAGTCCATATGAAAATGTACTCATTAGCAAAATTTGTGGCTAATTATTTTGAAAATCTTATTTGAATAAACTTTCTATTTTCTTATAACTGTGAATTTTAATAATTATGTCCAGAACCCACCTGTAGAATTCCTTTCTGCTTCATAGTCTTTCCAGGTTACAGGACTTCATTCTGACCTGCTTAAACAAAGATCATGGTTGTCGGGTAAATTCTGGTTGCTTATTCTCTTATCTGTAGCAGAAAGATAGTGAAGTATATAGGTGCATGCTCTATGTATTTTTTACACTTTTTCCTTTTTTAATAAGAAAACTAGCCTTGAGATGCAGGAATAGCTTGAACTATACAGATCCCAAGTCTTGTATTGTCCATACCCATCTTCAAAGAAATATCCATTATGAAAAAAATTCACAAACTGGAAAATTTGTTAGTTGCCACATCCACTTTTTTGTTTTAAATACCTGCAAGCCTAAGCTTTTCAGAGCTGTGTGATTGTGTGTGGTAGCTCCAGCTCTCTTCAGCCATAGAGATTAGTGGAGAACCAAAAAGCTACTAACCTTGTTTTGTTTTTTAGAGAGAGAGCATGAGCAGGGGAGAGGGTCAGAGGGAGAGAGAATCCCAGGCAGGCTCTGCACTGAGCTAACGTGGGGCTCAGTCTCACGACCTGGGATCATGACTTAAGCTGAAACCAAGAGTCCAACACTCCACTGACTGACCCACCCAGGCTCCCCATGTTTTGTTCTGTTATTTTTAATAAGAACAGGAGCTAATGTGACTCCTAATCTCATCTGCAAATTGAGTTTGGGTTAAATACATATTGTGAGGCTACTGCAAATAACATATTATTTTTTTATTACAGTTTTCATTAATTTATGTCTAAAAACAGCAACATCAGACACTTCTGTTTGAGTAAAAATTTCCAAAACATTAGTAAGTATATAGTGTCATTTTAAAGATGAGAAAATCGGCTCAGTCAAAAATCAAACAGGAGATCTTCGTGACAACTAGAACTTATTACTGTTTTGTGACTGTAGATGTTGGAGTCTAGTCCAGTCCTGCCTCTTCTATTTTAGATCAGAACTTCCGTGAGCAGCAAGCGTTTGCAGCCCTTGTCTATTTCTGTGTTAGAAAACTCCGGGTAGTGGCAGTGGATCGTGAGAGTGGGCTCTGGGCTTCTCCTCTCCTCTTATACTTAACTGGGTCCTTATTTAGGGCTCCCAGCCTTTTCAGGATTGTGATCATTTTTAACCAGGTACTATGATTAGTACTGCATGGGGTAAGAGGTGAAGGAGGTTAGTCTCCATTTTGCAGTTCAGCTGCTTTGAGAACCGAGGGAAACAATATCCAGGCACACCTAGAACACTACCTCTTAGGGCATCCTGCTATGAGTGAACCTTGACTTTAGTCATCTGCCTTTTATCCCAAAAGAATTATGTAAAATGTCAGAATTTGCCACCATTTTCAAAAGGCAAGCCAGTCCAGTACGTTCAGTCACATGTCTGTATGCCACGGGTCAGGATGGAAATGGTGGGTGGCTCTAACTCTAAAAAAGAAAGTTTGTGTCCATGGAGAAAACTATATGCTATAATGTCCGTGCCTCGCTCAATTGGTGCTTTCTGACTGCTAATTTTTGTGTTGCGGACGAGTGTCTTGTTCTGGATTGCTCTCCAAAAGTAGACAGTTACCTTTTATGGCTTAGGAAGGTTCTTTAAAATATAGGCAATTCCCATGCTTCTTTCATCAAGATATTAGGTTATTTCTACCCATTCCCATTCTTAATGTCTCTTTTATCTTGAGTGAGGTAGGTAAAGGTTTAAGTAATGTATGGGTCCCTTGACTTCAAGAAGAGGAGGCTAGATGGAAGTAAATGCCTGAGGAGGTTGGGGTACATTTATTCTTGCATGCTCAACTTTTATAGTCTACTCCCATTACTAACTTTCTTACATTTTTATCCCTGGTTCCCAATTCTCGTGCCTGGCATGTAGTAGCCACTCAGTGAACGATGGTGACAGTTTCTGAGCTTTCATGCATCCTTGCTTGGTTCGAAGAGACTTCTGTCCAGGCTACATATAGGTGACCATAAGTTCTTCCTTTCCTGGTACTATTCACCTGTTGTCTCTATGTAATTATTAATGGCACACCTTTTTATTCTCCAGATTGTCTTGGTATGAATGACAAATTATATCCTGGCTATAAGCCGGTACTTCAAAAATGTTTCCTCTTTTTAGTGCAATACCCATTTGGTTCAAAGGGAGATAGTTGTTCCTCTGTCATGGTATTTCCCCAACTTTTATTATTCTGATACCACCTTCACAGTTTCTGCTTATTCATTGTTATCTGTATGTACTTTGTGCTTTAAGTGTTATTTTTAATTAAGTAATAACATAGGTTTTTAAAAAACAGGTAGTTCTGAAAACCTTAAAAACCAGTCAACTGCCTCAGAAGCAGTTACTTTTAGTTCTTCTGCTTCATATTTTGAAATGCTGTCTATACATTGTTACTTCTTGATTTGTCAGTCTTAGATATTAACTGTTGTCTTGTTTTGGTAGTTTAGGATTTACATTTAACTTTTGTATTCTGTCACACTTCATTCCAGCTTCCTTACCTCCTGATACTTTTTAAATCTTTCCTTGACAGGGTTGCCTGGGTAGCTCAGTTGGTTAATGGGCT